GTAATGTTCCTACCGGCCCTATTAGCCGAGTATTGTCTACAGCCAACTCCCAAGATATCTTCACAGTTAGCCATGCTTCTGGTGATTACCATACACCTACAACTAGTAAGTCATTTGTACCACCGCAACACAGCCCTCACTTACTGAAAATCGGCCCCAATAAGATACCACCGTGAAATTTCCAAGCCCAACCCAGATGTTACTAGTTAATAAACCGTGCGATAAACTTCAAAGCGTAACCCACCCCTTCTCATTTAAATACACTACTGTCATCCATCAACCACTCTAAACGAGTGCATATACAAACATGTGCGTGCTTGGGTTATGATTGTCGTGTTGTAAGACAATATCATAAAACCCAGTAGTAAATAAAATACGTACTTAAAATTAAGAAAAAATGTCCACTATAATAAGAAAGCTGAAACTGTATATGTTGGCAGATTGACCAAAGGCTCATATTGGTGCAGATTTGTGTTTATCAAAAGCTGTACAGAGCACCACTTGGTTACCGAACTTGAGTTATCCGAAATTTCCAGTTTCCCAATTGGGGTTGGGTATAGTCACACTAGACAAACAAAGTTCGGGTAGGAAGCGGTCCGCCAAACCTCGCTCTGGCCGGGATTGGGGTTACCCTACACGAAGCAAGTTCGTGTGATAAAGTGGCCAAGCATTGTGCCAGCCCATGGTGGTGGGTGGATGGGTAGGTGGATTAGATGGTCCAGTTTGCCAACTGACCCTGTCAGGCGCCACCATTCTAGAGTCTCTTCTACCCTGTGACATCAGAGATTCACAGCCTATTGTTCCCAGTGTTTTGATTTGTCATGAGGCTGGAGTGTTCATTCTGTGACTGTTTTACACATCTGCACAAGGAACATCTATGCACCATGTCAACTCCAAATGCACGCATTGCATCAGTGATGGCTGACTGGTGGATGCGGGAGCTTAGGCAGGAGGCAGTAGGTCAGAGAGGGGGAGAATTAGTGAGAGGGGGAGGGACGCAGTGAGGTAGGAAGGAAGAGATGCTGGGAGGTAGGCACTAAGGGAGGCAGAGAATTAGGGAGGGAGACAAAGGCAGGCTGGGGGAGGGGAGGGAGGCTGGCTGGCTGGCAGATTAAGAGGGAGGCTGGCTGGCTGGCAGATTAAGAGGGAGGCTGGCTGGCTGGCAGATTAAGAGGGAGGCTGGCAGGCATGCACGGAGGCAGGGAGGGATGTCGAGTTGGACTACGTGACCTTGAAGGCGGGTGTGTGTATGGGATGTAGGGGAGGTATGTCGGTGGTGGGGGCAGGATGGGCTCACTCTGAATAGCCTATCACACTCGACGCCGTTAGCCAGATTTGATTCTTAAATTCTGGATGTACATAATCGTATATATTTTTTATTACAGATTTTGTTTAATAATATTATTAGGATAATTAATAATAAAAATATTTGTTACATGAATGCTTCATTGTAATTAGATGGAGATGCTCTGGCTGGCAATGTATTAACCCTCAAACCGCTCGGGGTCCAAATGGAATTAACACCCACACGCGCAACAAAAAAAAAATTCTAAAATTTTTTTTTTCTTTTTAATCTCTTTATTTGTGTTCCCTGAGCACGGGAAAAATAATAAAAAAATTTAATTACACTTACCGTGGACGTAAATGACCCGAGAAGATCGTCGATGACGTCACGCCTGATCTTCGCTGGACTGCTGTGCGCCCGGGGTGAATCAGGCGCGACGGAGAAGGAGCGCGAGTTGCCACGAATTTATTTTCGCGTTATTATTTACAGTATCTATGGCGTATTTTACACCCATTTTTTTCACTGGTGTGGTTCAATATGTTCTCACAAGATGATTTATAAACATAAAACTGTTGTCAATGTATATTGTATCCACATATTAGTGTCAAGTATTTGCACAAAAATGTCTTATTTCACAATAAAATATACAATTTCTTATGATTTATTTCCATTATATACACTCACTTATTCTGTATTTACATGTTTTGGCACCAGTCTTGGACATTTAGAAGTCATCAAGACTGTGATACTCGTTGAAACATCGGACATGGCACAGAGGGACCTGACACGCTGTGCACCAAGTCATCACCATTTTTCTTTTCTGTTCTCTTGGTTGTTGACCAGCATACTACACACGCACGCTGGCCTACTGCACGCTTTCCAGTTGGTGGTAAAAACCTGAGATTGTGTGTCAAAAAGGCATCCCTGAAAGCGAGCCTGGGTGTTGGAGCATGGTGCAATACCGAGTTCAGAATGGGCCTCTGTACACCAGGAATTACTTTGCCAAACTTCTGTAGTAATTGTGTTACTACAGTAAAATTGAATGCACGGAAATTACGTTTACCACCTGTTTTGACAAGATCCATATTGTAACTGTTCAGCATTGTTACATCAACAAGGTGGAAAAACATTTTCTTGGTCCACTTCACTGTTTTCCGTACACACTCCACTGCCCCCACCATCATATCACATTTATCCACCAAACGCATGTTGATGTTATAGTCCAAGACACAATCTGGCTTATAGATTATTTCTCTGGTGGTTCTGTTCACCTTGCCACTGTCCAGCACTGTTCCAGCATGAATGGTGGTCAACATGTTCACTTCACGCCTGTCTTTCCACCGCACTGAAAGTATTCCACCTGTTTTTCTGAGCTCGCAATCACCAACCTGCATAGCACCTGGAAACACTGGCATTTCCCTTCGTTTTGCCTTCACTGTGCCACACACACCAGTTCTATTATCAAGCAAGAACCTAGTTAGCAAGGGACTGGTATAATAGTTCTGTGTATAAAATGTGGCCCTTGTTCAGATATGGTGCAATCAGTGACTTCACAACACTACCCGAGAAGCCATGTTGGTCATTAGCAGGAATGTCTACATTTGTACCCGTATACATTATCATATGTAACACAATTCCTGTTTCACAGTCACAGAGTACAAAGAATTTCAATCCAAATCGGTGGCGTTTGGAAGGAATATACTGCTTGAAGGCAAGACGTCCTTTGAAAAGCACAAGGGATTCGTCAATCACAAGCTTCTGAGCTGGTACGTAGAAATCCCTGTACTTTCCGATAAGTTCATTCAGTACGTGCCTTACCTTCCAAAGCCTATCTTCATCATTCCTGTCTTCATCATTTGCAAAGTGAAGACACCTGAGGATTATTGCAAATTGGTCTCGAGACATATATTTGCCAAACATTGGTGTTGGAACAGTATGGTCTTTGCTCCAATAATGATCGATTACGTGTTTGACACAATGTTTCATCAACATACACAGTGCCAAAAACACATACATTTCACCTACAGTCGTATCTTTCCATCGCTGCAAACGTGAAAAATCGGATAACTCCTCCTCATCAATGAGATCACTCGCATATTTGTTCGTTTCCTGAACAAGATGTTCCATTAGCGGCTCATCAAAATATGCAGTAAAATAGTCCATTTCACACATATCTGCACCTTTATCAGGGAAAATGTCTGTAATTCCAACATCCGAATTATCAAAAACAGGAATTTGTGGAACAAAATCTGTCCCATCACTCCACACAAAAACACCGGGTGTCTTTCTAGAGCCAATAGCGGCACCACGGCGAGGAAACCATGTACCAGGAGCTGAAGCAGGTCTAGGAACAGTTGGGGCGGGCAGGGATGGTGATGGAAAATTCCTCGATGTTGAGGGTCTTTGTTCCTGTGGTGCCATGCGGTGCCGCATGGCTCGGCCAGATGCTGCTGACGCGACAAATTGTCGCTTGGCAACACCACACACTCCTCCACTGGCACTAGCAAAACTATTTTCCGATTCTAAGTCACTAAAACCGGAAAATGATTCACCTTCTTCAGAATCGTCGAGCAAAACATCAATATCTTGCAAGGGAGCACATGAACTGTGTGGTCTTGCTGAAATTGGGTTGGAGTGAGGGCGAGGAGGCATGGGCGAGATGCTAGGCCTAGCCCTGGTGGAGCCAGCATGTTCACACTCGACGTCGGTCATATCCACCTCTGAGGGCTGTGTATAGTCATGATCAAAGTCTGAGTCGTCTATATCAGACTCATCACCAACCGGGAACAAATTACGAGTAATTTTGTCCTCGGTCAGAGGTCTCGAGGAACGTCTCGCTGAGCGGGGTCGGTTGTCGGAACTCGCTCGCCATGGTGTCCGCTGGGTAACTGAGCTCTGTACACAAAGGGGACCCACGCTGTATTTTTTTCCCAGGCGGGGTTTGTTTATGTTTGGTCGAGGCTCGCCGATGACTACCCCTATCCCAGGCGGGGCGTTTAAATTATAGCGCTAGACACGAAATCATACATAAATGATGTGCGCGGTTCCGGTTTTGTCACTGATATCATTTATATATGATATGCGCGGTTTGAGGGTTAAGCTAGCCACTTTGGGGGGAGGGAGACCAGCAGCACTTAGGGTGTACTCACATAGCTGTACTCACCTAGTTGTGCTTTTGGGGTTGAGCTCTGGCTCTTTGATCCTGCCTTTCCTGAGGGAGAAGTGGATCAGGACTTCTCTTATTGGTGAGTGCAAACAAAATACTGTCACATTTATGCTATGAACCTGTCATTTTTTTCCCTTAGACTTTTAATTTTTATTATTATTATTTTCCTCCATTTCTCGCTTACGAACTTACATGATAACTCACGGGTCTCATCCCCTATGGAGTTTAGAAATTAAGTGTTACTCTGTACTCACAAATGTTTGTAAATATTGGGAAAATTTACAGAAATGATTGTACATTATATAAGTGAGTCACAATAACAGCATAGCATGTAGACATTGCCATTATCAGTCTCAAAATGTATTATTTGTATTTGAAGCCATCCAGCTCATATATTACTGTAAATTATTATGGTAGTTTAAATCTACGAATTAAGCATTTCAATTTTTAAATAATAAAAATACACACGAGTTTCTTTGTTGTAAGTTAATTCCTACAGAATTGGAGTTATATAAACTAATTCATCTACAACATCAATATATTACAAACCTTGTCCGAAATGAACGCTTCTTCATTCACCTCATTAACAGGACATTTTTTTCCACAAGTTCCAAGTCTTTCCTTGGCCACACACTTTCTATCACTCTGTCTCCCTTCTCTGATCAAATAAAATATTAAAAAAGCATATTAATTAAAAAAAAAAAAATATTGAAATCATACAACTAGATCCTACTCACTTCCCTAAACTCCTGAGGCATATGCACTACAGTACCAACAGCATCATGATTGCCAGTAATATTTTGTTACAATACTTTTCATAAACTTTATTGTAGTACTCAACATACAACAGAACTGCTCAACACAGTGTTAACGGCATAATACACTACAGTATGTATTTACTGTACAGCATTCACAACTCCATGAGACTTTAAGATGGACTTAACTCCAACAAAAAGGTAAATAACAAATGTAACAGTATTTGTTAGTAGAGTAATAATATATAGGTACAGTATATAATATGATAATGCATTTTTATTGTCTACAAGAAAAATAAAGACACTGATGCAAATGCCTCCTGAAGATCACCTCTTGCAACGAATCCAACGCTCTAATGAACTGGGGTCGGTCCCATATAGTACGTTGAATCGAGGTTGTACTGTATTGGGAACAGGTTGAGGGCTACAGTGGTGTCCCAGGTTACATAAAGGTTCATGGAAGTGTAAAAGCAAATAAAATACAATAAACAAGTAAAAGTGAGTGAAAATAGCCGAGTGGAAAAGTTTGTTTTGGTTTTAAAACAAAAACAAAGATGGCCACTGCCACCACCCCCACTGAGAATGTAGACACACCAATAGATGATGGTTTCAAAGGATTCTCATTGCACGATATAAGGAAAGGTGTTCTTGGCAGGTTAGAGATAATTGAGGATATGCAAAAGAAGTATGAAGAAAAAGTGCTTAAATTGGAAGAGGACAATGGAGCTCTTAGGAGTGAGCTTTACACTCTAAAAGGGAGTATGCTTCAGCAAGGTAAGATTATTACTGCATTAACAGACAAGGTAACAAATCAGGAGGAGCAAATCAAGGAACTAATGAAAGAAAATAAGGCGTGGAAAGTGAAGTGTGGTGACTTTGAAGAAATAAACAAGAAAATAGACTCATATGGTGAACAACTCCAAGCGAGCCTAAGGGCTAACATAGAGTTAGGCAAGGATCTCCAACTGGAAACTTTACTGACAACTCACAGAGGAGGTGAATAAAGAAATAGAAAAGTATAAAGAAGAAATAAAAGCGACATATGCTCAAGTTGTAAAAGAGAAAGAGACTATCAAAGAAGTGTGTTCCGAAGTCAAAACCAGAAATGACAAACAAGAAGCAGAAATTAGGCAAGCAATTAAGAAAGAACTGGTAACCAACAGTAAACTAGTACAAAACACTGCAGATAGAACCAAGTCCATAATCATTTTTGGATGTTTAGAGAAGGAAATTTCATCTAGGGTGGACCGAGCGGCAGAAGAGATGAAAATCAGAGAAAATAGTAGGATTAGGAGAAGGCTCAAAGGAAAATGTCAGTGATTTTAGAAGAATAGGAAAATATGAGAAAGACAAGAACCGCCCCTTAAGGGTGACGTTTAATGGCGTGAAAAACATGATGCTAAGAAATGCCAGGAAATTGCAGAGTGATGAGGTTGGCAAACTTTGGTCAATAAGACAAGACCTCTCCAAGGAAGACAGAGAAAAACTGAAAATGAACCTAATTGAGGCAAAATGTCTAAATGGAGATAGAAATGAAGACATAAATTCTTTTTTCTACAAATTGACAGGGACTGGAAAGCTTGTGAAATGGTACATAAAAACAACGCAACAAGATCAGTAGTGGAAGGGGGAGTAAAGAGCAAAGGAAAAGGGAACATGTTCCTGAAAATTGTACTTACCAACATAGATGGAGTGAGGTCAAAAACTTTGGAGTTGCAAGATATAATCCAGCTTAGGGTCCCAGATATGTCGCATTATCAGAGACGAAACTTGAAGGAAATATAATAAATGAAGTCATATTCCCAAGAGGCTATTCAGTTTGGAGACGTGACAGGAAAACTAGAAAGGGAGGAGGAGTGGCTGTACTGGTGAAAAAACACCTGAAGGTAAGAGAGTTAATATTTGAAAACCCTCGAGATATTGACATAATGGCATTGCAGATCTGGAATCAGGATGATAAGCTGATAATTTTAAATGCCTACAGCCCACCAGCAAGCAACACATGGACAAAGGAAGAACTGGATGACAAACGAGAGGGCCTCATAATGGATATGAGAGATATTATCGTACAAGCAGATAAAGATAAATCACGACTGTTGATACTGGGGGACTTCAACTTTAAAGCAATAGACTGGGAGGCCTATGAAGCAAGAACGGAGGACTTTTGGACATGCATATTTGTGAACCTCATTCTGGAGACATTCTTGTATAACACACAAAGCAGGCCACAAGAATGAGGGAAGGAGATGTACCGTCAGTACTGGATCTAGTATTCACCAGGAAAGAAGAAGAGATATTTGACATCCAGTACCTTCCTCCTTTGGGAAAGAGTGATCATGTCCTGTTAGACATTGATTATGCTTTAAGATATCATCTAGAAGAAAATGGGGACATTGAAAAATTTGATAAACTCGATTTAAGGAGAGGTCACTATGGGGAACTTTGGAAATTTTTTAAAGAGTGTAATTGGACAGAATTGTTGCTAGGCAGGGAAGTAAATGAAATGTATGCCAAATTTTTAAAAATATACGAGGAAGGCACACAAACATTCATACCAAAACAGAGATACAGGGCCAGAAAACAGGATTGGTTCGACAGAAATTGAGAGAGGGCCAGAGACCAAAAGACACAAAAATGGAATCGGTATAGGACGAGGCCAAACCCTCAAACATACCAGCGATACAAAGATGCGAGAAACAACTATACGGCAGTAAGGAGAGAGGCAGAAAGAAATTTTGAAAAAGGGATAGCGGATAAATGTAAAACAGAACCGGGCCTATTCTCTAAATTCATAAACAACAATTTGCAGGTAAAGGATAATATTCAGAGGTTGAAAATGGGAAATAGATTCACAGAAAATGAAAAGGAAATGTGTGAAACATTAAACGAAACGTTCCAAAGTGTGTTTGTACAAAATGAAATCTTCAGGGCACCAGACACAATAAGAATTCCAGAGAACAGCATAGAGCACATAGAGGTATCTAGAGATGAAGTGGAAAAAATGCCAAAGGAGCTAAGTAAGAACAAAGCAGTTGGCCCAGATGGAGTTTCACCATGGGTTCTGAGAGAATGTGCATCCGAGCTTAGCATTCCACTTCAACTGATTTTTCAGACATCCCTGTGTAAAGGAGTTGTAGCTGATGTGTGGAAAAAGGCTAACATAATCCCAATCTACAAAAGTGGCAGCAGGGAAGACCCCCCTGCTGATTGAGGTTATCTTGAGATGATTTCGGGGCTTTTTAGTGTCCCCGCAACCAGCCCTCCACCCCCAGGAAGCAGCCCATGACAGCTGACTAACACCCAGGTACCTATTTTACTGCTTGGTAACAGGGGCATAGGGTGAAAAACTCTGCCCATTGTTTTTTGCCGGTGCCTGGGATCGAACCCAGGACCACAGGATCACAAGTCCACCGTGCTGTCCGCTCGGCCGACCGGCTCCCCCCACAGAGATTGGAGGGATTGGATGGATGGATTGGATTGGATGAGCCACAGAGATTTTACAGGAAAGAGATGGTTGGGTTGACTGCATCTACCTGAACCTAAAAAAAGGCTTTTGACAAGAGTTCCCCATAAGAGGTTGTTCTGGAAACTGGAACATATTGGAGGGGTGACAGGTAAGCTTCTAGCATAGATGAAAAATTTCCTAATAGAAAAATGAGGGCCGTAATCAGAGGCAATGTATCGGATTGGAGGAATGTCACAAGTGGAGTACCACAGGGTTCAGTTCTTGCACCGGTAATGTTCATTGTCTACAAACGATCTACCATATGGAATACAGAATTATATGAACATGTTTGCTGATGATACTAATATAATAGGGAAGATAAGAAACCTAGAAGATTGTCATGCCCTTTAAGAAGACCTGGACAAAATAAGTATATGGAGCACCACTTGGCAAATGTAATTTAATGTGAATAAATGCCATGTTATGGAATGTAGAATAGGTGAACATTAGGTGTACAGTACACGCTCCTCGCCTGGCCTGTCTCGCCGCCCTGGGCCAACACCGTTATCACCACCACCATCATGTATGTCCTCAGATGCTAGTTCATTATTCAGTGACAGCACATGTGACAAATCTTTCTAGGGATTCAGCGACATTGGCTCAGATACGAGTAGTGTGGACGACCCCAATACTAGCAGTGGGGGTGGCACCAGGCGGGGTTTTGCTGCCTCAGCAACACGTAGAGGCCGGCGGTAGCGTGTCTCCCAGCATGACGCCAGTGGGCCCTCAACATCAGATGTTCGTGGTAGGCCTACGGTATGGAAATCTGTCTTGGCGCCAAGCATACCCTCACGTAGCTCCAGCAGCAGCAGCAGATGACGTAGCCATGGTTTTGGTGCCCGTGGTGGTGTTGGCGCCAACACCAAATCCCCAGGTGTACTTGTGTGGGAGGATTGCGCCACATTTGTCCCTCAAATACCAACGTTTGACGATACCAACGTTGGTGTTACAGCTTTATTCCTGTATACCAGTGATGATATGGCGGACATGGAATATTTCCAGGCATATTTTGACTGTCTTCATGACTCATCTTGTGACCGAGACAAACACGCCCACACGTGGTAGGTTGAAAGTAGCCCACACCCTCATAGACGGCGGCATATTACCTGCCTCACGCGATGGAAGGATACGACAATCGACAAGATGTACGTGTTTCTCGCACTATGTATGATGATGAAACACTCCAAGAAAGCTGAAAGTTCCAGGACTATTGGAACAAAGACAGCCTTGTTCCATCACCCGTCTTCAACCTGTATATGTCGTGGGATAGGTTCCTGTTGATTCTGAGGTGCCTGCATTTCGAAAACAATGCAAATGAGGACAGACACGACAGACTGTGGAAGGTACGCAAGATACTCAGCGACCTGCGAGGGAAGTTCAGGGATTATTTTGTACCTG